CGTGTGCCCTCGCTCCGCGAATTGCTCGCTCTCTTTTGAATGAGATTAGCACGTAAGAAACAATTATTTTGATCACATAGACACTTTGAAATTTTAGTGGCCCGTTCGGGCCACCAAATTTTAACTTTTGGAAATTTTGGTGGCCCGACATCAAGTTTTGGTGGCCCCGGGCCACCGGGCCACCGCTAGTGTCGAGCCTTGGCTTAAGTTATTGTTTCGTTACTCTGTAGAACCACGTTATCTTTTCGTTTGGATGCAAATAAATGTTTTTTTATATAAAAATACCACTGTGCAGTTGTTTGTTTCTTTTTTCAGTCTCAAAATAAGAAAGTACACGGTTAATTTGTCACAGTCTCACAGAGATGTGTGCCTGTGAGTCTGTGACATCACATCACATCTGTCAGCATAGTTTATCATCGACTATCATTCATAGTTTCAACAGACAATGTATGAATGCAATTGTAACCACATCATTGCAGATTAATACAAGGCAAGAGCTGTATTCAGCTGGTATTATTGTCAAGTTAAATTTAAATATGAATGAAAGTGTCAACAGTTTCTAGTTCTACACTCTACTCTGTAGTATAACTTTTATTATCAATTGTATTTTATTATGCGTCAGCGGGTTGATCTAGCCAGCGCCAGCTGCAGCGGATACATAAGCTGGGTTTACACTGACGATTTTGAATTGCCGAATTGTACGAACTTGGCAGTTTCGCAACTGACAATCGCCAGTGTAAACGCAAAAGTCGCACGTTCAACCGATCGATAGCAGCGAGTCGGAAGATTAGAACGTTCTAATTTCCCCAACTGCATATAATCGTCAGTGTAAACCCAGCTTAAGCCGCCGCTGCAGGGTGATACTCCATTGGGAGTGTTCCCAACTTTAATGTCATTATTGTTAATGGTCATAATAACATATATATATATATATGGTCATGGTCATATATTAGTTTGTGGTTTAATGTCATTTAGGTTAGGGTTAGGATTATCAATCATTAATCATTGATGATATCAAAGTTGGGAACACTCCTAATGGAGCGTTAGCCCTGCTGCATGCACGGTGTATATGTAGCGCTCGCTGTACGTACGTACTTGTGTACATTTCAATTTATCAGGCCACGGGAGCGATTTTCTCTTGGACGATCGCTCCCGTTATTGTTCTTACCAGAGCGAAATCGCTCGTCTCTCCCGTGTATTTTTTCCCCTGATTGCACGTATGTGCGTTAGTACTGACTGACTTCTCTGTTCATTTGACATTTTGACTGATTCTTGGAGAGGTAATATAGTAGATTAGCTGGCTCAGCAATGCGTTTCCGTTTTACAGAAGGTTATATGGGTTGTTCTCGCGTGATCTAGAGTTAGTCCCATCATTCATTGCGCGCATAACATACAAACAAAATGGCCGCCTGCTGCAAGAAAAGAAAAGCCTTACTATTTCCATGAATCACAGGTTGGCAGGTCTGCATCGGGTGCATTTTCATGTTTTATTTACATAAAAAACAACAACTAAATAACACCAAGTTAAAATACGTCGTCTAGTCTAGTCTCTTGTTATCTAGTCATCCTTTCACAGTTTTGCATGGTTTCTCATCCCCCGCAACCGTCACCTCTAACCTCTCCTGTGACTGACCTAACACTTAATTATCATGACATCATTAATACCCGCAGGGAGTCTCTCTACTGCTCCCTGCAGCATTAACACCTGTGGGGGATCTCTTCCTACATGGATTCTCTCTCGGCTTCTCCCTGCATGCAGAATTACCACCTGCGGGGATCTCTCAATGTTAACACCTGTGGGGATTCTATCGGCTTCTCCTGTGGGGGATCTCTTTCTACATGGATTCTCTCTCGGCTTCTCCCTGCATGCAGCATTACCACCCGCGGGGATCCCTCAATGTTAACACCTGTGGGGATTCTATCGGCTTCTCCTGTGGGGATCTCTTTCTACATGGATTCTCTCGGTTTTTCCCTGCAGATTGACGAGCTGCTGAAGGATGGGGAGAAGTGCAACCTGCTGGCGGGCCACGCCGACCAGCTTGTGCTCGTCTCCTCCCTGCAGCTACGCCTCACCTACAGCAAGTACATGCAAGAGTGCGCGGGAGAGGTGATCACCATCTACCGCTGCCTCATGGCCACCCTCATCGCTGTGAGTACCAACCACCTGCACGACGACAGTTAGTAATACTCGAACCCTGTCGCCTGCAGCAGCGGCGACTGTTAACGCAGTCGTTGTTCGAAACTGCGTGAAGAAAATGTTTGCGGAAGTCCTGTTATCGAGTTGTGTGGGGTGGATGCGCGTGGTGTAGTACAAATGTTCGATGCCATCTTCACGCGAATAGCGAGAGTGTCGAAAGCCGTTCGTGGTTTTTCATGCACTTTCTATAAATTCCGTGTTTTGTATGTAGTCCCACATAATAAAGAGGGCTTTTAAAAGGTTGGTTGCCATGATAACCCCTCGTTTGAAAGAAACCTCTGCCGCCATGCCGCGAAATTTCTGAATGCAACCGAAAGCCTTGCCCCTCATAAACGTTTTTAATATTATTTGTTCCCTAACAGCCTAAGTTCCCAATTTAACTCTCGCTGCTTCTCCCCTTAAGTTCCCTTTAAGTTAACTCTCGCTGTGTATCTCGTGCTGGAGGTACCAAGCGCTTCTTGCCCTCTTTCGTGCTGGAGATATCATATTGTGTGCTTCATACTCTATCTCGTGGTGGAAGTACTGTGTGCTTCCTTCCGACCCACCCTATCTATTCTATGCATGCAGCGCAAGCTTTACAGACTGACAGATATGAGGGTCATATATTGCAGGTTCTAATGGGCGAGTCTCACGTGCAGCGCTTTGCTACGCATACATAAGTTGTTTGCTGTCAACAGGCCGGCGATCCCAAAGATCCGGTGAGGAAGGTAGTGAAGAACATTTTGCGTCTGGTCTACAAGGTCTACCCTGCCAGTAAGATGTTCACCTACATCATAGACGGACTGAAGTCGAAGAATGCGCGTCAGCGAACAGGTAATACACACGACAATACATAAGACATAATACATAATATATAATACAATATAAATACAATACACTACAATATAACACAAGACAATGGGGTCTGA